CTAAAATGATACTCCAGGCCTTCCATGTATCGGGAAGGAAAAATAGTTTAGCAATAAAGCTTACGTAATTGATGCAACTGAATCTGTAGATGTTCTTAAAAGGATTCTTTCATATTAACCTTATATTTAGAATGTTTATACTATATATTTTTTCTAGCATTTAATTCTCCCATTCCACCCAGCAAATGTACTGTACGTGACAGCGCGTAACATTGTATAAGTGTTTCAACATTACCACCTGACCAAAATCATACATGTTAATAACTTAGGCAGATTAGACCTTAAAGAACGCCTTAAATTTCAAAACTATTCCTTTGAGCTAAGCAAAATAAGTTAGCTAAACTAAAGTGTTGGATCGAGAGCTTAACTTTCAATTACTTGAATTCACACATCTAGCTTTTACTTTAATTCCTTTTAACTTGCTAGTTTGTACCTAAATATCGCATACACACTAAGAATTCAAATTTTATAAGTATTCAAGAAATTACTTTTGAATTTATCCAGAGTGAACAGAAAACTTTAATGTTTATAAAACTAATTTATCAAACATACGAAATGAAATATTTGCAATTCATTTACATCGAAAAAAAATTATTTAGCTTGCATTTTACATCAGAACGCACAGAAGTTACTTGCAATTATTCTACTAATATGCCAAACTTTCTTTAAACAGTCTTAAGGACTAAAAGCAGAAATTTTAATTTTGGTAAGAAATTTAAAATAATTGCGATTATTGCATAATTAAATTAAAAGTTTCTTGCAATATAACCTTTTGCTCTGATAAGATTTGCTCATTGCGAAGTCGCTCTAGGAGGAATATACGGAAAGGTTGGTGGATTCGCATTCGCTGACGAGGCCTTTGTTCACATTCCCGCCTGCTCCGGCAGTTTCCGTCTTTTTTGGCTGCTTTAAGAAATCTTGGAAACTGACGCTCGGAAAATTCTGGAGTCGTGGGCTGCTTCCTCGTATTTGAACTCTCCGTCCGAATTCCTTGCTTTACTGAAACTTTGGGTTGGTTCACTGGAACTGTCTTGTGGTTCTTGTAAAATTTCCTCCTGTGGGGTAGGTCCCTTCCCATTGACCGCTTTCAGTGTAGATATTGTCTTGATATTCCGTCGCTGCCATCCTTTCTGAACAAGTGAAAGCTCGTTCGTTGATTCCTCAATTGGCACTGATTCTTCATCGATAGTTCGCTGGATATGGTGGTAAATTATATTTTCATTTTCTTTCCTGAAGCTCTGCCACTCCTTAGTCTTGACCACATCTCTTTCCGTCAATATGCTTTCTTCTTCCAAGCCACATTTGTGCCTTTACGTTTTCCTTCCTCTATTTCAGCCCTATTTTGCTTTCCTTTTCGGGACTTGCATTCTCGAATTCGATGAAATTGCTACAGTTTGTGTTCCTTAGCAATACCCGCCGACAGATTCCCAGAGAAGCGGATTTAGAATGCATGTGGATCATCAGTTGGCCATACGTGACTATTGTGCATATTAAAGGACCCTTCCTGTGAGAAAGTTGCCTCGTCCATGAATAGCACATCCGATGGGAAATCCGCCTGCGCTGCATACTGCTGCAAGAACCAAAGACAGAAACTAACGCGCAGAGTGTAATATGTCGTTTGCAAAGCTTGGACTCACTTCAGATTGTATGGGTGCAAGCGATTCTCATGCAGTACTCTCCAAATTGTGGGCTGAATCACATGCAGACGACGTGCAATATCTTTTGTACTAGTGTGGGGTGTTTCATACACAATCTTCAAGATGGTTTCTTCCATGCGAGGTTGTTATTCCATGTGAAGTTCTTGTTCTACTCCTGCTGTCAGAATTGGAGCAAATTACCCGTTTTGAAACAGAGACCAGTGCAATATCTCTCATATTGTGTGCTACGGCATACGCCTATTCGGAAACCGTTCCTGGTACATTTGTAACGCTCCCCTGTCTTTACCAGTACATTCAGCTCTCCCGCAACAGCGCGTTGTCTTGCCCTAACTTGTAACGAACAGTTGTCACAGAACGAACAGTGTCACAGAACGAACAGGGTAAACGAACAGTTGTCACAGAGCTCAATTCCTTAGCAATCCTGAAGACTGACACGTACTCAGACAACAGAGCATCCGATAAGAATCCTGAACGTATATCTCAGGAACCCACATCTTCCATAACTCACGAAAGCAATTTTCCTTTTATGCCAATAAATACTAATATCTTCGAGCATGATGAGATTAAGATACTCCAGATAAATTTACAAAGAGCCAGAGCCGCAACGGCCCAGCTGGTGCAACAAGCGATGGAAACGGAAGTAGACTTTATTCTTGCTCAGGAGCCTACTTGCAAGCAAACAATGTAGCTGGCCTCCCTCTAATGTGGACCATCATCCAGTCACATGATGAAGAAGGCCCAAGAGTAGCTACTATTTGCTGTAATCAAAAATGGGCACCCACTATCATCAAAGCTACCAGAGATGCAGTAACAATGGCGATTGAGGCAAAAAATCTTAGAATACTAGTTACTAACAGCTACCAGAGATGCAGTAACAATGGCGATTGAGGCAAAAAATCTTAGAATACTAGTTACTAACATCTACATCCCTCCCACGGCAGACATTTCTGAATCACTAGATCTACAACAAAGAATTCTGGCTGATTACCCCAACGAACAGCACCTTCTTGCGGGGGACTTTAATGCGCATTCTGAAACCTGGGGATATCCACATACGGATCTGAGAGGACGTGCAGTAGAAGACTTTGTGGCAAGTAATGATCTATCCATTCATAATGAGCCTGAATGCCTGCCTACGTTTGAAACCGTTAATGGCAAAGGGTGGCCGGATTTAACGCTCTCATCTGCAGCCCTGACCCCAAACATAAAAAATTGGACAGTTGAGGATTCCATTACCAACTCAGATCATAGGTACATTACCTACAGTATAAACCAACAGCATGAAAGGCTAGTAATGAAGCGCTATAAGCTTACCAGAAGTAAAACTACTCAATTTTCCAGGAAAGCACGTCCAATCCTAAATAGATTATTAATGGAGCTGCCAAACACCATAACAGTCAAAGACGCGGAAGAATTGACCAATAATTTGATCAGTGACCTCCAAATTATCTGTGACAGCACCTTTGCGCTGAAAACCCCCAAAATGCTACACGCTGCAAACTGGTGGACCAGGGACCTCAGAACACAGCGTAGCCGTACCAGAGCTATGCGCAGGCGCATGAAAGCAGAAAGAGATCAGGATGCTAGACAATTACTATCCATAGAATATAATAAAGCGCAGGCCAAGTATAAAAAGGCCATATTACGGGCCAAACTTGAAAGCTGGAAAAAATTCTGCACTGATCATAGAGATACCTATGGGATTCTGCACCAAATAGCCAGCGAAAAAGTTTTTAAACCGACTCTACATCACACTTTTCATGGTCATGCCTATGGAGAGTCAGGTATTATGGAAGCAACCATAAGAAGAATCCTAGATGCGGTTTTTCCCTCAGATGAGGATGACACATCAGACTTGCAATTGCATCCGGCGTTCTCACTTATATCAGGCACTCCAAATGATGTACCTTATACCGATTCAGAAGTAAATGCAATTATGCGAAATCTGCCGAAGAAGAAAGCTCCAGGTCCCGATTCTTTAGATTACGATATCATTAGAGCGGTGCACAGAGCGAATCCGAAATTTCTTGTCACCTACTTCAATAAGCTCCTCTCTCTGCAATATTTTCCTAAGTCCTTTAAGATCGGGCAAGTGGTCCTATTTCAGAAATCCGGAAGAGACAAAGAAGATCCTTCTTCCTTTTGCCCCATCTGTCTTCTTTCGGCTTTAGGCAAAATTTAGGAAAAGCTGACAATACTCAGGATCAAGCATCATTTAACTTTGTCTGGCCACATCTCAGAGGCGCAGTTTGGCTTCAGGGAGAAACCGTTCCACTCTTAACGCTCTTGACATTGTTAAAGATGAAGTTCAAAAGATCAAAGAAGATAACCAGCATGCGGCCGTCCTCAGCCTTGACTTAGAGAGTGCGTTTCACTCCCTGTGGTGGCCTGCCACCATTGAAGCTTTACATGCGGCAAGAGTGCCTTCTTCAAGTACAAGTACAATCTTCTACAAGTAATTAAAAGCTATCTCAGCGACCGCACTTTTACCGTGGTCTATAATGGTGGCATAGTAAATAAAAAGCAAATACGAGGCTGTCCACAGGGGTCATGCGCTGGACCAGATCTCTGGAATCTCACATTTAACTTCATACTAAATGCGCGTTGGCCGTCGCATACAAAGACAGTAGCCTTTGCAGATGATTTCATCGTTCCAAGCCACAGCAGGGACGAATTGGAGAAAAACTGCAACGAGGTTATCTCGCTCTTTGACAACCTCTGCACTGAAAAACACTTAAAAATATCACAGGATAAATCAAAATACATTATATTTCACAAGCCTAAACAAACTATCATAAGGAACCCGTGCATCAAGCTAAGAGGAGTGACGGTCAAGAGGGTCAAGGAGTTAAAACTCCTTGGCCTCATTTTGGATAAAAACCTCACTTGGATTCCTCACTTGCAAGCCCAAAGGGTTAAAGCCACAAGAATAGCGACTAGAATTAAAAATATGCAAGGAAAAGATTGGGGATTATGACCCCACATCCTAAAGACTATTTACAAGACGGTAGTGGAAAAAATAGTTTTGTATGGGGCAGCTATTTGGTCCCTACCCATGACTGCGAGAAAATTGAATTTACTTAATAGCATCCAACGACCTTTCGTCCTTGCTATCACGAAAACATACAGGACAACGGCCACAGCAGCGGCAGCGGTTCTAGCTGGACTTACTGCTCTGCCAATAGCCGCACTACAAGAGGCAACTGTCTCTACTGTCATGCTTCTTAGGAAGTCAGCCTCATTTAGGGAACTACATTTGTACCATCAGACTTTGAGAACAAAAATTCTCAGCTCAAAGTTCATCCCGCTAGTTATGGGTTGGGCATTCGTGCCCATACCTCTATGTCTCAGGATTTACGGGTAAGAGACACAGGCGGTGCAAATACCATCAGCATATTCACTGATGGCTCAAAAATCAACGAAGAGGCAGGCTGCGCTTTTATTTCTCATTATCATGATAAAGTCTTAGAAACATGGAAAGGATACCTTGGACTTAATAGATCGGTATTCCAAGCTGAAGCAGTAGCATTGCGCCAGGCTATAACAGCAGCTATGAAGTTTGTTGACCAAGAAGTTTGTATTTTCTCAGATAGTCAGTCGGCAATCTTTGCTCTTCGTGATCCATTCCATCCATCACCGATCATAGCAGATATACAATGCCTGCTCAAAGAAAATGCGCATGACTGCAACATCCAGATTTTATGGATTAAAGCGCACGTGGGCCACAGGGGCAATGAGGATGCAGACACTCTTGCAAAGGAAGCTGCAAAGAATATCGGTGCGCAAGATGTCCAGATCCCGCTTCCCAAATCTTATCTGAAGCGAGTCTGTCGCATTAAATCGCAGCAACAATGGCAAGAGGAAAGAGGAATGGGACTCTATATCGCAAGGCCGTAGAACCCATGACTTTGTCCATAGAGTTTCCCAAGATCGACTCAGCCCCTTTTCTTTCCCGTTTCATTACAGGCCACGGACCAATTCCCCAATATTTCTATCAAAGGGGAATATCAACAACTGATCATTGTGTCTGTAATGAAGTAGGTACACCTGATCATTACGTTACGTCTTGCCCTCTCACGGAAGAATGGCACATGAGGCTTCCTGATACTGACATTGCTTATAAACGCTTCTTCATTAAGCAGCCAGCCTATCTCAAGAAGCTCAAAAGCATTATGAACAAACTTGAAGCACTAGGACTAGAATTATGCAGCCCACAATAACAGACTTAAATTTCGCAGAGATTCAAAGCACACTGGTTTCCAGTGGCCTCTGCAAGAAGCCCATCTTGAGTCAGTACGCAGAGTAACATTAGGCTGGGAACACGAAAAACAAATGTAAATATGATTTAATATTATCCAAATGTAAATAGTTTAATTATGTATATTTGTAATGAGCATATTAATGCATGGGTGCAATGCAATATTGTAAGCATGTGCATTTTATAAATAGAATATTGTGCAGCGTATTGTGAATAATGTATTGTACAGCACACTGTGTATAGTACCTTGGTAAAATGTGTAAGTGCTCGTAGCATGCAGAGCTATGCTTTGAGCCGAAGGAAGCATAATAATTATAACTGTAGTACTACAACTTAATGTATTCAAGAGCACAGAATGTAAATATTATAGTGGTAATTATTATAGTAGTTATATGTATGTAAATATTATTGCATTCTGTAAATTTTAGTGCATTGAGTGATTTATATATAGTAGTGTGTTAACGTGCATATTATGAAATGTATAGCACATGGTAAATACGGTATTTAATGTATCTAGCACATGTAATTTTTTAACTGCAATTAATTTAATCTGTAATTTTTTTCCCTCAATGTGTATTTCTAACAGTGTTTTTATAAGCTTTTTGTATTAAGAATTATGTTGTATATAACAAAGAGTTACTACCACTGCCTATATTATTTAATCAAGAGTAATGTTCAATGTAATATGTAGCCAATACACACAGTGCATTAAGTGTAGAAATGAGTTTTGTAAGGTGTCCTAAATATAGTGCAGTGTTCAATGTAATATGTATTATAAAAATTTTAGTGTATTGAGTGTGTTTTATATACAGCAGTATGTTAAGGGGCAATGTAACCAGTAGAATGTTTAATTACAAAGTTATTTTTGGTATGTTTTAAGAATACAGCAAAATTTATGCCACAGTTAACTTTTAACATGTTATTTAATCAAAAGTAATATGGGCTGTACTATGTCCTTAAATCTGTATTTTGTATATTATAAGTACAGCACAAAGTAAACAAAGAGGATTTCTGTGTGCAAAATGTGTAATCTGTTTGTAATGTGCAATTTTGCTCTTTATTTAAGAGCTTTTAATTTATTTATCTGTTGTATCAAGTTATTTATTTAAGTCTGTTTTATATAACGAAGTTATGTACTATATAATCCAGTTATGTCTTATTTAAACAATTACATTGTTCAGAATCTATGTTGAATTGTCAAGAATAATGTTCAGCGTAATATGTTGCAAAGTATAGTGTATTAAGTGTAGCATTGAGTTGTAAATGTGCCTTAAGTACAGTGCAATGATCAACGCAATGCATATTATGAAATGTATATTGTAGCGAGTATGTGTAGCAATGTGTTAACATGCGATGTAGCCAGGAAAATGTTTAATTTCGCATGCAGAAAAATCTATATTTTGCCCTTGTATGGCCATGTACTTTGCCCTTGTATTGTTTTCGGAGTGTAGCTTCAGATAGTTGCGGGTTCCGGACGATACCCGACTAGTCTATGTAAGCCGTCGGGTGTCCGGACCTGCCCTCACCTGTCACCTGCCCTAACTTGTAGCATCCTGACAATTCTCCAATACATTTCATCATGCAAATGGTGTCTTCGGCTCATGAATTCCACTTTGGCTATCTCGGATTACGCGAAACTATTCGCTGCTTGCGAACTGACTCATAGATCTGGCATACCCCTTTTTAAGTTGATGTGGTGTATCTGCAGGATGGGGTTTAATGCTAATTTTAGTTGCCTATTTGAATTCGGCGATGCAACCTCTACCTCATATGTAAATATTAGGTTTTTATTCACCTTTTTACATGTATACGTTTCCTTTCAGCATTTGTTGCTTATTTGTTTAGCCCGAGTGTATATATTGCATATGCAATTCATATTATAAATAAGAAATCAAGCCTATAAAAGGAAGAATCCTGAAGATCATTATAAGACTTATAGATACACCGAAGAGCCATTATATTGTGACCAACCCTCCATCTATAACAATGGCCTCACCCAGGAACAAAACCACTGCGCGTGTGCGGCTGCTGTTGGAGTATATAAAGCGGCTATGCATTTTCTTTCCAACATTTAGCGACATAATGAGAAAAGCAGCTGATTTTTCAGACTTCGAAATCGGAGGTCAAATCGTTATGGCTTGTCAACTGAGAGCTTCAGTACCAGAAACGACACATTTATTGGGCTGTTCACGCGCAGTTGTTGTGAGCACATATCGAAAATTGTGAATAGATGGTGAAACGACAAGTCGTCAGTCAGCAGTGTGTCATCGACGGCGCATTGATTCCTTGGAGAGCGGAGATTGCTAACGTATTGTTTGCCGTGACCGAAGAGCTAAAACAGCCGACATCACCTCCAGCTACAACAGTGGCGACCCAGACAGTGTTTCTCAAAACACTGTGCATTGCTGCATATGGGCCTACGCAGTCGGGGGCCGAAGCATGTCCCTACAGAGACGGCACGTCATCGCTAGCTGCGTCTGCAATGTGGCCAAGGCACATCAGAATTGGACATTGGAAGAACAGAAGAAAGTGTCATGGTCCGACGAATTACGTTTTCTGGTCTATCACATCGATGATCGTGTGCTAATACGACGACTCCTAAAAGAAAGCCTGGTTCCCTGATGCACAGTTGGCCGAAGAAAAACCGATGGCTTTCTTTTTGGGGTGTAGGCAATGTTTTCATGGACCCATAATCTCCACAGAACAATCCCTGTGCGCTACTTGAACATCGTTGCAGACCAGGTGACAACAGTATTTCCGTCGGGGGATGGTGTTTACTAACAAGATAATGCACCATGTCATAAGAGTCGAATTGTCAGGGAGTGGTTCAAAGACCATTTTTCAAGTCATGTCTTGGCCTCCAAATTTACCTGATATTAGTCCAATAGAGCATTTATGGTCCCACCTGGAAAACCAAATTCGTGCTGTCACACTACCCCTCACAATGTACGGGAATTTCAGGACCAGATGCACTTGGTACCAGATACCTCAGACTACGTATCAGCACCTTTTGGAGCCAATGCCACGCTCTGTGCTGGCAGTTTTGGGGGCTAAAAGTGGTCTTACATGTTATTAACAGGATGGTTATAAAATAATGGCTCTTTGGTGTATATACAAACACGCACAATCATTATTATTATTGTTATCATTATTAAACTTTTAGCATAATTGCCAATAAAATGTGTTTATAATAAAACAGTTACTTGTTTTAAAATTTATATATAGCTAATTTGTTTGTTGAGATATATTAACTGTGTTAAACACTTTAAGCACTTTAATTTTTCTATCCAAACAATTTTGAATAATGTTAAATATTTTATCTCATTCCTTAAGTCATATAGCAAAAAAAAACTTTTACAAATGGCATTTTACATACTAATGTGTACGTAGATATGGTACATAAATTTTAAAGATACATGCACCACAGCCTCTCAAAAATGCATTGTGACTGCAGACAATAGATCTTCAGAAAGTCATTTACGGTGACTTTAGTACATCTATGAGAACTAAAACAAGGACTATATACAAATTTATTTTGTAAAATAATTTAAAGAAGATTTTGACCCGGCTTTTAGGATTTAACCAATATTCTCATAAACGTTAAGACAGTATGATTTCATTATCTATTCTGAATCATTAGCTCCAAGTTTTCCTAAAATTTTACTGTACATAAAACTGTACGCTGACGAATATTTTATCTTCATAAATAAGATACACAATTGTGTCTTTTAAAACTGTTAACTTAGTATATTATATTTCCAACGAAATAAGTATTTATTTATTCACAACATTATATGGCTGTTACAAAATGCCTTGTAATATTTCTCTTACCTTTAAGGTGCAGCATGAGAAACGAATAGTTAAAATATGAAATAATTCGCTAACTCAACAACTTTCTTTTCAACTAAGGTAAACGAATTAATATGATTTACCTTATTAAGCCATCAACGTTCCGAAAAGGAAGATTTTGAATTTTACGAATATATTTGCTTCATTGAATGCTTAAAGAAACGCCTGTAATAAATTTTAGTAAAAATATCTTCGCCAATCATCCTACTCACTCTGCAGCTAAGCCAAGCGGCAAATTCAGATAATCCAGTAGGAATAAAAAATAGCATTTTACACCTTTACTCTCTGTATCTCCTTCTGCATATTCTCTTTTCAAGTTGAATGATAATTTCTCTTAAAATATCACTTCATGCTGCTTGGAATGTTAAAGAAGTTTTTGTTTGCTGATGCACTTAAGCACTGTATGTACAGAACTCAATGTCTTCATAAAGATTATTTTAAGCTCCTGTCGCTGCTTTCTGCGCTATAGGAATATGAAAGGTGATAAGAGGATAAGAGATTCGATGGCCGACAGCCATAACGAACTTATATTTATTTTTCTTCTTCCCTATTCAGCCCCTAGTGATGAAACTGCAAAGAGTCGTTTACATTTCAGTCGCCTTTCTAGCGCTTAAGCTTTCATTTTTCTGAAAGTTTTTCGTCATTCTGAGGTTTTCTGAAGTAGATTAATTTAAGATTATACTATCTCATGATATAATAAATCGCAGGAAATTTTATGAATCGCCATGGCATATTTTCGTTGATGTATTAAAAAGAAATAAGTGCCATGCATCAAGCATCCAAGTATCAT